AACAACAACAGTCCTTGATCTTCTGCAGCAAGCACTTCAGGTCATCCTGTTTTAGCAAGTAAGGTTGTGTCATCTGCATAACAGAAGTTGTTGATGAGTCTTCTTCCAATCCTACTGCCAGCCTCCCAGATGATCTATTCCACATATAGATTGAAAAGGTATGGAGATAGGACACATCCCTGTCATATATCCATTCCGATTTTTAACCATGTAGTGTTTCCTTGCTCTGTTAGGTGTGCTGTATGTTTTCTGACAGTTCTTTTTTTTTTGCGGGGGGGAGTATTTTTAATGACTGAAATAGAAGATTTAAAATATCAGCTTCTGGAAGAACCACTTGTTTTTGCCTGTCTTGTACCTCTCCTCAAACTTGACCTTGGCTTCCCGCCTTGCCTTGTGTTTAAGAGCAGGGTCTCTGAAGACATCCTTGTTAACAATGGTTTTGTCCTAGGGGATATCCACAGAGTACCTTGTGGGCATGAGGTGACTGTAGTTATAAACTTTCACAAAGGACTTGATCTTTGACCTCTTGGCAATTTTTTCCTTGCCCATGGCAGCTGTCAATTTTCGGGGATAGCGGTCAATTCCAGCTACCAGAACATGGCTATAGGGGCGGTCAGAGGTGCCATCATCAATGTTCTTGACAATGACGGCTTTGCGTCCAGAGTATCGTCTGGCCAGGACCAGCACTACCTTCTCTGGTTTCATGAACTTGTCCATTTCGACAGCAACCATCCAGACCGACAACAAAAAGCTGACAGTTTTACCTTGAGAAGATCATGTTTCCATTCCTATATACATTCAGGATTTACTAAATTTTACTTTCAAAGTTGCACTATTTATTATTGTATTATTTAGTGTGCTTTGTATGAAGATTTAGAAAGCAATTTAGTTTTTAATTCAATCATCCACACATATTTTTCTATAACATTAATTTCAATACCCATGTCTCACTGTTAATTCGGATTTCTATTAACCTTTCTTTCCCTGTATCTCCACTTTCTTTAGTGATATTTTGCTGATTACCCTTTTTTGGATATTGCGTTTCCCTTCATCCATCTTTTTTAAATTAAAATTTTATTTTCATTGTGATTTTAATGAACGTTTACAGACAAGTTTTTATTATGTGCCGTCGAGTCCCTTGCGACTCATAGCAACCCTATGTACAACAACTCTGCTCTGTCCTGTGCCAATCGCACTGCCTCTGACACTCCCATCCCGATTACCCCAGTCACTGAATCAATCCACCTCTTAGAGGGCCTTCTCCTCCTTTGCTTGCTCTCCACCCTCCCAAGCATGACCTGTCCCTCCTTACAACATGTCCAAAGTATGTCAGAAGAAGCCCCAGAATCCTTGCCTCCAAGGAGCAACCTGGTTTAACCCTTTCCAGGCTGAATCTGTTTTCTTGGCAGTCCATGGTACTTGCAATACTCTTCTCTAGCACCACAGCTCAAAGGCATTAATTGTCCTTCAGTCCTCCCCAGTTACTGTCCAACTCTCTGATGCATAACAAGTGATTACAAAGACTATGACCTGTATCAGACACACCTTAGTCTCCAGAGTGACACCATTGCTCTTTAGTATTCTGGAGCGGTCCCTAACAGCAGACTTTCCCATCGCAATACATTTTTTTATTTCCTGGCTACTGGTGCCAAGTGTGCTGACCCTGATTTTAATTTATTCATTGTTGCGCTTTATCCACTCTCCTTCCTTTCCCCTTTCCCAAGTTCACTTTTTAAAAAAAAATATTCATTTTTGCACAGTTACCTACTTCACTCCACCTCCAGTTCTCTTTGCAATGATGTATCTACTATTCTCGGATACTGTCCTATGCATAATGCTTAATCATATATACCTTAAAGACTGCAGCACAGCTTCTTGAAGTAAATACTCCAGTGGAGTATTTGGTCACATATTCCTTTTAGACAGTTCTTTCCTTCATCAGTTCCAATTCAATGGTCATTATTTATCCACTCTTATTCTGTTCTCCTCCCAATCCACCATGTCCGACCTGCTTTATAACAGTGGTGCTATTCAGTATTTTTCCTGACATATTACACTCAGCATGATGTGTTCCAAGGTTCTCTAAGTTGTGCAATATTTTATGGGTTCATTACTTTTCAATGCTTCATAGTATTCCATTGTATTAATACACCATAGTTTTTCCATCCATTTGTTTGTTGCTGGGCACTTGGGTTGGTTTTATCTCTTTGCTACTGTAAATAACGCAGCAATAGTTGTGCACTCCTTCATCCATCTTGATATGTAATTATTTTCTATGTTCTAATTTTACTCACCCCTGGTTTATTCAATTTTGTTATTACTACTGTGGTGAGGTGGTGGTGGTGGTGGTGTTAAATCCTTGTTGTTCCACAACAGGTCTAGTTGTGTGATTTTATCTTGTTTCCTACTTCCTGGAAGTTTAAGTTGATTCACCTGAAAAACAAGAAATATAAAATTCTTTCACAGATTTCATTTTTTTTTAAAAAGCGCAGAAAAGCTTTCTAAAGGGCTTTAGTATAGGTCTCCCCTCTAGTCTCAATCAGCCAGGACTACATATCCCACAAAGCCAAGGGGTGTTTCCCCTCATCCCCTGCCATTATCTCATTCCCTGGCCTCGTTCTCGCCAATCCCTGCTTCGCCAGGGGTGTGGTGTCGGGCTATTCTCGCGATTTTTGCTTTACCTTTCTGATGCACTACCCTTGTCGCGAGACTTTCAGCTCCTTCGCCGCTCCCTTTGCTGCCGCCTTAACTCGGGACCCCGGACTCAGCATCTCCCCTACCCGAACGCCAGCCCCCGGCACTGCTGAGGTCCCGGTCCCCCAACCCCGCCTCGCCGCCGCCATGGCGGACCCTAAATACGCCGACCTTCCCGGCATTGTGAGTACAGGGCCGGCCCGAACTCCTCAGGACCGCGCCCCCGATCTCCCTAGGACCCTCGACAGACACTAACCCGTCACCCCTCCCTCCTGAAGCCCCTCCTCCCCCCTAAGGGCGCGTGCCCCCGGCTCCCCGACCCGCTACAAGACCTTCCGGACTCCGCCTACCCGGCTGGGCCTGGGCCTTCAGGCCGCGCACAGGCCTCCTTGCTGGCAGTCTCTGGTTCCCCCGCCCCCAAATCATCTCTGGACATTACCACTTTATCCCTAGTGTTTCCACCTGTGTCGACACGTCCTATGTCACCGCAGCTTTCCTCTTAATCTCTCCACTTCTCAGTACATCCCAGAACACATACATGAACACACACTCTCTGTGCTATTTGGTGCCTTCAGCTTGTCAACGAAGAGGTGAGGGTGGCAGAAATTTTCTTGTGTCAGAGGTGGGATCTCCAGGAATCTGCACCTCCCTTCTCCATTGTCCATGCTAGCAATGCCGTGGTGCAGTTCTGCCTGCATCCTCGGGTTGGGGGTTGGGTCACAGGACCTTAGTCCTGACTCACCCTTTGTACCAGGGTAGTGGTGTACCAGGCCTAATTCAAAGGTATTCCTCACCTACTTCTGACATGATTACTAACGACATGCTCCCTCACCCTCTACCTTTCTGGATGGAAACTCTGTCATCACCACAAACCAGGTGCCAAGGGGTGCCATTTTACCTGTCATTCTCACTCTGCTGAGGGAAGAGGTGCTAACGTGCAGTAAGGGACAGGTAGAAGAGAAAGGACAGGATCTTAACATCACAGCCTGCCTTCCCTGTTTTCAGAGTGGAAGAAGGGGTGTTGGTGGGTCCAGTAGGTGATGAGGTCTGGTGATTACCACTTCTGCCTACAGGCCAGGAACGAGCCAGATGTTTATGAAACCAGTGACCTACCTGAGGATGATCAAGCGGAGTTTGATGCGGTAAGATTGTGTGTTGTCTTAGGACTCCTTTGGATTCTGACCTATCTTCCTAGGACACGTTCATTCCCTCTCCCAGCAAACTAAGGATTAAGTGTGTATGCCAACCCTAGCCTAGGTGGTATGTAGGTTATAGGGCTTGCAAAGGCTTTGTTGGGCCTCCAGCCACCAATGAGCAATGTCAAGAAAAAGAGGTCAGTAGAAGTACAACAAAAAAAGACCTGTTTGCAAATCTCTGATCCTTAGACACTTTTGATAAAAATAAAAAGGATCTCAGAACAGGTTTGGGGCTAGAGACTTGGTTAAGTCCATGGGTTCTTAAGGTCTTTTATTTCATAAAGTACTTCATTCTCTCTCTATATATGTTCATTAGTATTCTACTAAGAGCTAGGTTTTGACATGTAAAGAAATATTTTTAAATATATGAGCAGAAAGTATGGAAATTGGAGAAAGGGCCTGGTAAGAGCAAAATTTGAGGGAGAACATAAATCTTTTATATCAGCAAAGAGATCTTTATGGTACTTTCAGATCCAAAAGAAATCTAGACTGAAGGAATAAGAAATTAGCTAGCTCTAGACATATTTAAACAGGAGGGATACCACTTGACATTGTTGCAGCCTTGAAACCAAGGGAGAGTTAAAATGTATAAGAAGTATATGGAAGAAAAAGCCAAAATAGAGTGAATGAAAGTCAACATGATAGAGCGGAGTTTAGGGCTGTTGTACATAGGGTCGCTATGAGTCGCAAGCAACTTGACGGCACATAACAACAACATAAGTGTCAGAGGGATAAAGATCTTTTAGCGTATCTTCTAGATTGTGTTTAGATTTTTGTTTGCAAAGAGAGCTAGGCTAGAGTCATAGTGATGGTATGCGGTCTAAGTGAGGATGTAACCAAGAGTCATAGGGAAAAGGCTTAATATGTGTGTGCTACGAGTCCTGTGGCTATGTCTGTGGGCTGGTTGGTTCTGGGAAATGCTGGTTGCTGGCTTACAATGAATGGCTTGGCGTACTCACTTATTCTTTATTTGATTTCCCCATATGGAAGCGGTTCCTACTTTGTGAGGAACACCTTCTATGTTCCTTCTGTTAGTGATGTGTACCTTGTGGCTTTTGTATCTGCTGGCATGTTAGTCCCCCAGGCTTGAGAATCTGGAGATCAATGCAGCATAATGTTGTTGCCAAAGGACCTGACTGTGCACCTGTCATTCTAAGAGGTATCTTTTTAGGAATCCTCCTCTAGCCTCATAGGCTGGGGAAGCAAATAGTGTGGATGTTGAAGACTTCACTGTACTGTCTTGGTTTAAAGACTCTTCAGTTCTGCTCTAACCCTCTGTCTAAAAATTGTCAAGCCTTTCATGGTAAGATGACTAACAGAATATTGCAACTTTTTTGATGACTGAAACAAAAGTAATCCCCTTTTTCAAACAAACAAAAAAGTTATTTTTTTTTCCTCTTGAAGGAACTGGAAAATCTCTTAATAAAAAGTCATGGAGAATCTGAATATGCAGCTCTAAATTGATTGGCTGTTTGTTTCTACTGATTCTGAGCAACTTATTTTATCACCCTATTATAGAGTCTAAGGGAGTGACTGATGGGGAGAGAGAATACCACTAGTGTTTATTTCTTATGGCATGTTGCCCAGTATGCTGGTATAGAGTGCTTAGGAGCTGGATGGTGAACACAGGAGGAATCAAGTTGCCTCCATCACCTAAGGCTCAACTAAGTGGCTCTCCATCACTGGGGAGGAGTAAATGGGGTGAGGGATTTTCATTTGTTCTGGGAGCCCTTAAGGCTGAGATATTTCCTGGTGTCAGCTAATATCTCTGGCCCCTGCATGTCCCTGTGGGCCTTACGAGGGCTGCTTTCGGGAAGTCATCTGAGTAATGGTCTACTGCTGCACTTAATACTGACGCAAATGTGCAATTCAAAGAGCAGTGGGGCTGTCCGTGAGGCTTGAGTTTTCAGCAGTAACCTGTCCTATATACTTTTTCAAGACCTAACACAGGTTATGCATTCACATAACCTTTTTTGTGGTTGAACTGGAGGTTTTCTGTTCCCTGTTAGCCCCTGGCAACAGCATTCTCTGCCTTAGTCACCAGATTATTTTCAACTTTAATTTTTTTTCTGTTTTTAAAGGTAGAGAATATATGCATATAGAATAAAATATTTGATCCATTATTGTCCTTTAACTGCCTTCCTCTGATAGCTCCACTTTGGAAGAAAGTTTACCACTGAAATCCTGAGATAGTATTGCTTAATACCAATAAAGCTCTTAAATGCTACTTCAACTCAGGTATAAAAGTTTTTCAATTCTCACAGTGGGGAACAAGAAGCAAATGGGTATAGAATTTTAATTTTGCTGTACATGATTCTTGACTTTCCAACCAATTGTCAAAAATAATTTTGACAGGTGGTAGTTGTTGTTGTTGTTGTTATGTGCCGTCGAGTTGCCTGCGATTTTGACAGGAAGTAAAATATTCCAGAACTAGAATGGTACAAAAAATTGGGCTGGCCAGCCAAGTCGTCCTCAAGATGTAAAGATCTTCTGTTTGCATTTTATATACTCAGATTGATTAGGATAATGGCCTTATTTGGAGACTTTTTTTAAAATCTCTGATTAGGAAAGCTAATTTCAACTGGAATTTCCTTTCTTCTTGATCCACAGCTTGCCTTGCATCTGTGTGGAATTTTGTTCATGGCTTTTGAGCCATGGAGCAAAGGGAGTAAACTTAAAACTTGAAACAGGATTTAGTTTCACCCCTTAATTATAACTGTTCCCCAATACCATGTGCAAGGGGGGAAATTGTCTAGCCAAAACTTTATGGGGCCCTAGCAGAGGCTGCTGTTCTCCAAAGAGTCAATAGTCCTGAACATTAGCAGCCTGAGATGAGAAACTGTTCTCTTCCATATAGTTGGGTATTACAGAATATGCTTGATTGTGTTCATTGACTGTTAGCACACTTGAACTTACCTGAGTTTTTCCTAATGCTTCCCCCATCCTCCCTCCTCACCACTTTGCCTGGACACTAGTTTGCACAAGTAAGACCATTCGATGCTTCTTCTCTGCATGCTATGTTTTCATCTGCCATCTTGCATGCAATGCTCTGCCACTGTGCCCTTGTTGTGGTTAATCGTTTTAAGTTCCAACAATTCCCTAGCTTGGTAACTGTGGGGTTTGCTGGCCTCGTGTTTTAAGATCATTAATCAAGTTTAGAAGTACAACTCTGAACCATGAATCATTGTCTTTTACCCTTGTGAGATCTGTAAAATAAAACTGTCCAGTGAAGGAAGGGAAGGAAACATGGAGGCTCTGAATGCTTTGAGATATACGGCAAGGGACCTTTGAGATAGGAGCAGAAGTTAGAAGGGGGTCTCCCTTCTTCTCAGACTAGAATGGAACTAAGAGCAAAGGACTGATTTTTAGCCATACTAGAGTAGAAAAAGGGAACTCTGGTATCCTAGTGGATAAGGAGTTGTGTTGCCAACCCAAAAGTAGGTGGTTTGAATCCACCTGCCACTGTGAGAGAGAAAGATGGACAATCTCCTCACTTGTGATTTACAGCCTCTGAAAACACACTGAAAGGTCAGCTATGCATCAGTTTTGATTTAATGGCAATCAGGTGGGTTTTTTGCTTTTTCTCTCCCACCTCTGAGGGTGGAAGAAAACCACAGTCTTCACCCGTTAGCTTTGGGGATTATCCCTGGGGGGAAAAAATCTACTTTGATATCCTAATGCTAAGTCTTTAGCAAAAAAGGGTAGATGCCAGTATTACACAGTTTTAAGACAAAATTATTTAGGGTTATTTGTACATCACAAGTCTCTCTGCTTCTGCACCGCTCCTTGAGAAATAGCTGGATGGTCAGCATTGTTTGGATCCATCCTGGACAGTTTTATTCTGTATTACCTGTTTTCCTTGTCATGATTCTGAAGTCCACCTGCAGCTTTGGTACAGAGCCAGAACAGGCTCAGAAAGCAGCAAAGGCCTCCTCTCTGATTTAGAACGTCTGAGTCACAGCCACTTAGCCAAACAGCCCTGGGGAGTCTGGGAGGCCATTAGTGTGAGGAACTAGGAGTCAAGTACCAGAAAAACTGGTACCCATGATCAGTGCATCTGGGATTTCCTAAAGTGTACTAGATTTCCTTTGTGACTGTTAATATTTAAAATTGCAAGAATTATACATAAAATGATCCCTCAGACCTGATGGTGGTATATACTGTTTACAAACTAATATGCCACTTTTCCTTGTCTTTGATTTTTTGCCTTCCACTGTTTTGCTTGTTCCATACCATCCATTGTCCTGTCTGTTCTTGAATTTCTCCCAAGTTGACTTTAGCTTTGTGAGGCAAGTAAGAGAAAGGTGCAAAGTATATGACTTCCGTCATGTGTTCACATGTGAGTGCTTAGACCCAGCTGTCCACTCTGCAGAGACATCCCCTCCGGGAGCCACCTCTCCCTTGGGCTGAAGGAGTCTTTGCTGGGCTGGACCATTGTATTAGGGAATAATTGAAGAAGTTAAGATTCAGTGATAGCAGTGGCTGAACTCTCTGGTACAGGAAGTAGCATTATTGTCTTCATCTCACCATGGATAGAGATTATTTACTTATTTATTTATGCATGCACACAAACATTCTTAGACTTCTTATACTTTCATTTGCCCATCAAAAGAGTTCCTGACAACTAGATCTCCCTTCCAGGCAGTTCTTTAGCAGACTTGCCTGGAAATGGGAGCCTCATCTCTGTGGCCTGACTTAAATAAAGTAAGGCCTCTTTGGAATACTTTTACCCTTCCCCCTAGTCTCGACCATCTAGGTCCATATCAATCTTGTGAACTGAGAGTTGAATGAATATGTTCTACACATGAGCTAGTAATAGCTTTGAATCTTTGAATGTTTTTGCCAGCACATCATGCAAAGTTGCTCTGGGATCCCTCTGAGCTGCAGGGTGAGTTGTCAGTCACTCAAGATAAATAACAATAGGCCGTACTGCTTTAAAGACCACAATTTGCCCTGCCTCTCTTCTGGTAGTAAGAAATAAAAATGGAGCTAGATAGAAGTACTTCATGTTTCCTTAAATTTAGCATCTGTAGGTAGCGTGTTCTATTCTACCTAATCTAAAAATCAAACCACCCACATGAGCATGTGCATCTTTCTATCCGCATTGTGACTGATTCTGCCATCCACATGTCTGATTCTCTCAGGGCCTGAGAAACTGGGAGACAGAAAGACTTGGAGACCGAGTAAGCGGTGCTCCACCTTTGAGAATTCTGGACACTCAGTCAGCTGTAGGTTTTCAGAATCGCCATAGTCTCAGCTTCATATTCTGCCATCTGTAGCTCCTCTCCCAACCCCACTTCAGCCTTCTTTCCTGCTCACACCACTAACTTGTAACAGCTAACTACTAATTCTAAGATGATCCTAAATTGCCGTCAGCAGTTACTAACAACAAAACTTCATGACATCCTCACCACCAGAAAGGAAAAGGTCCCTCACTCTCCTTTCTCTTGGGGATTTGGTGACCTCAATGGATATTTCTTGGTTCCAAAATGTTGCTAGGCTCTCCAGGGGCCCTGTGGTGCGGTGTGTTTGAAGACTAGCATGTAGTGCATGTGACAATTTGCTAATAACAATTTTTTTCTTTTTTCCCTCCCCTCCCTCACCCCATCCCCACTCCCTTTCCTTTTAACTCTTTTGATTTTCTCACCTCTTGGGAAACCACAAGGAGCTGGTAAGAAGCCTGATCTTTCATGTGCTTTTTTAATGGGATGTACTATAATGGGCAGTTTCTCTGTCATTTTGTTTCTACTAAGTCTTTTATCCTTCTAGTCAAACTCACCACTAGCTGACAGCCTTTTCCATCTCATGAATGGCTGGCTGTAAGGACACTGCCTTATTCCATGCTCCAGATTTCAACACTGGCAGAATAGGTGCCACTGAAGGACTTGTGTGTGCTGTCCACCTGCAACTTCTTGGGTCACACCCTTGGAGAGGCTCCAAGGGGGCATTGGCGTCAAGCAGCCCTCCTGATCTAGGACATGCTCCTGTATTAGGAGATGGGTCTGAAATTTGCCTTCTCTCTTAACCCCTTTCTACTCTACTCTATCCCTATATAAGAGTCCTTCCTTATTAAGGTCCCTTAACTACCACTCCAGAGATTGGTCATTCAAACTCACCTAGCAGCACCATGGAAGGGAAAGCCTGGTAATCTACTTCTTTAAAAATAGCTGCCACTAAATCCCAGTGGAGCTCAATTCTGATCTTACGCATAGGCTTGCCACGAGTTGGAACTGATCTGATGGCAATAAGTTTGGATTAATTTTTCATTATTTTAAAGAAAGTATGTTTTCATCTGCACAGTACCTGGCCTATAATAAGGCCTTGACAAATGGTCACTGTGTTTTTCTAGGTCTGTAGGTTATACCCCCATTCTTCTTTATTTTTAAAAAGAAAGGTTTATTTTTTGCTTCTTTAAATGGATTTTTTTCCCCTTGGCCTTGATTAGCTAAGATGATTGATTCTTCCCAGAAGGTGTAGCATGTTCTTGAATGTGAGTTTAAGGAAAGGTGGTTGTCTATCCTGAACAGGAATCTTCAGATATATATACTGAGTAGCAGTGGAGGCCAAAAACAACTGTTATGTGAATGGTGGATGCTCAGAGCAGATGAAAAATAATATTTTGGGATTTATTTGGCACCTGCACATAAGATATTAAGCCCTTTTAATATTTCTTTAGTTCTTGCCCCTTTGCTGATACTTCCATAAAGAGCTAAATAACATAGTTAATATTTTCTCCTCATTCACTCTCCCTCCTTAGTTTTAAAAGTGCCATTCAACCCAGTTCCTTTCCTTTTTTTTTTTTAATTTCATTATTTTTTGTTTGTACCGGCAAATCAGATCTGACTGATACAGGAGGAGATTGTTCCTCCTTCTCCAGCAGAGCATCTGGTGGATTTGAACCATGCACCTCTGAGATTGCAGTGCAGCTTCTTGCCACTAGGCCACCAAAGCTTGCCCCCAGTTCCTTTTCTAAGTGAAAGAAGAGCAGAGGTGAAGGATGGGGCTTTCTTTACCTGCTGCTCTTTCTCCTCAGTGTCTATTTCCTAAACCCTAGCAGAGATTCTCCTGCTTGACTGCATAATCGAATCACCTGAGTAAGGCTTGACTCCAGAACAGTAAAGTCAGTGTCTACAGAGGAGGGCTAAAGCTTTTTTTCTTCCTTCTTTCCTGTCTCTTTTTAAAAACTTTTTTACACTTTCCAAGTGATTTGAATATGCAGCAGTTTGCCTAGTCAAAAGGAGAAAATGTGTATTTTTGCTTTCCTATTATGGAGCAGTTCTGTAACATACAGAATCACCATGAGTTGGAATTTACTTGATGGCAACTAATAATGCCTGTAGAAGGAAGAGATGTCATTCACAACAGAAAAGGACTTTTGGGTCTCTCCCTCTCCCTACTTTCATTACTCTAGTGAATTGTCAGGCAACTGACAGTTGAAGGAGAGACATACGGTCTGGAGTGTCCAGTTTTGATATATTCCTGGACTCTTAGACAGGAAGTAATTATTACGAGAAGCACCTCTCTTTGCTTCAGTTTCTTGGGTGAAGTCTTTTTCACTTTCCTCTCATGTCTCTTGCCTTTGGAAGAGTTGCTGTGCTTGAGGCATAGCAGAGGGGAAGGGGGAAGAGGCAAGTGCCATAAATTCTCTTTGAAAAGATACAGAACTGGCTTTATTTGAGTGCTTGCATGTAGCTTCTGTCCAACGTGAGCCTGCAGGCGGATAGTGCTTGTGCTGCTTGCTCTTAAGATAGCCCTTTAAGAATAATCTAAATAATAAACTATAAATCTTTCCTCTTCTCTCTATCTCAAGTTCCTTGGCCTCACAGCAGCCTCATTACTGAACTATTGGTCAGACCCTCCCTTCCAGCAGTCTTCCTTCTATGTCTGAGACCTGTCTCCCTTCCTTTATAAAAAACCTCAGTGCTGTTGATTGGACCAATTCATGGCTGACCATCTGATGGGTTTCTGAAGCTATAAAGCATGAGAGGAGATTGCCCTCTAGCTTGGAAAGGGTCTGAGAGCAAAGGAGACACTCTGTTAGCCCTAAAGAAGACACCCTAATTCTGATTGTGAAGCATGGAAGGAGATAGCTCTCTCTTTAAAGAGGCACAGCCTTTAGGTTACTAGCACCACTCCCTATAGAGTTGACTACCAGAGTACATCCTTCCTTTAGTAAGTTTAAAATCTTAATATACACCCACAGATTATTGGCATGATTGTCTGCCCTTCCTCTCTTTCCAGCCAGCAGGGATGAGAGGTTAGCTTTAAAACGAACTTCTTCAACCAGCAAGATTTGCTTTTGGGAGGGGGAGGTTAAAAGAGGTCAGGTTGGTTTCTTGCCTAGAGTGCATGGTGTGTGTGTGTGTGTGTGTGTGTGTGTGTGTGTGTGTGTGTAACTTTGGGAGGGCCCAGTTGGAGGGGGTGGGGAATGGGGAGACTTTTGGACAGAGTAGGTGAGGAGGTTATGTTACCTCTGTTCCCAGTTGAATCAGGGTGTTAATATTTATACAACTGAGACTTCAGATTTATCAGGAAGCTTCCTTTTCCTAGGTTGATTTTTATTTTGGGTTAGGAGCTTGGGATGGAGTGGCCTTTCCTTCCTCTTAAAAAAGATGGGCCCAGTCTCTAAGTTTTGGGGATTTTGTGGGATATGGGAAGCTCAAAAATGAGAATGATTCTTCCCCTGATCTGAATCACCTGTTCCTGCAGGAAGAACTGACAAGCACAAGTGTGGAGCACATCATTGTCAATCCTAATGCTGCCTATGACAAATTCAAGGACAAGCGAGTGGGGACAAAGGGACTTGGTGAGACTGGGCTAGAAGGTAGATGGGTAAAAGCCTGAAAAACAAACATAAAATGTGGCTTCCTGTCCTCAGGTCTTAGTGACTTATTTTGGGAAACATTCTCTCAAGAAGATCAGTTATGGAAGACCTCTCAGTGACCTGAAGTTGTCACGTCCTGGGCTTAAATCAGACTCTGAATTCTACTTTCTTCTCTTTGGCAGATTTCTCAGATCGTATCGGAAAAACCAAGAGGACAGGATATGAATCTGGAGACTATGAAATGGTTTGTGGGGGATGTGTGTGTGAGAGCGAGAAAGAGAAGGGGTGGCATGGAGTTCCCATCCAGCCAATACTGAGGAAGATTAGGGGACACAGTTGGGAATCTAAGTTTCTCTTTGGCCTGGGTCCTATGGAACCCAGCAGGATGCAGTTGAGAATACTGCCCCTTGTTTATTCTGAAGAGTCTCTAGAACTTTAGCTACTTGAATTCTGTCCTAATGTGGATTTTGATTGTGACTTGGGCCTAGATTTGGGTTTTTTAATTACTATTGGAGTTAAAGTTTACGGAGCAGATTGGTGTTCCATTCAGAGGCCTGTGGTTCTCTATAATGGAAGGCATAACATCACACCTTATGTTTGTTCCTTAGCTTGGAGAGGGTCTGGGAGCAAAGGAAACACCCCAGCAGAAGTACCAGCGACTGCTGCATGAGGTCCAAGAACTCACAACTGAAGTTGAGAAAATCAAGGTAACTGTAAACTTGCTATGGCTTAACAAATCATTGATCCCAGCAGTAGAAAGATTTCCTACTCCTAGAATAGAGCATGAGTTTTCGGAATTTGTCAGTATACCTGGTTCTACATTCATTGTTAAAAGGTGACAGTCTGTAATAGTAAGGATCATTTCAGTGACTTTCAAGCCACAGTGTCATTCAAAGTCTTGACACACACCCACCCCCATTCATGCTTGCCACTCTCTGTCTACCTTTTATTCCAGACAACAGTGAAGGAATCAGCCACTGAAGAGAAGCTGACACCCGTGGTACTGGCTAAACAGCTGGCAGCTCTGAAGCAGCAGCTGGTTGCTTCCCACCTGGAGAAACTGCTGGGACCAGATGCTGCAATCAACCTCACTGACCCTGATGGGGCTCTAGCTAAGTAGGTGCCCTACTTTGTTGGCAGATTGCTCTTTGGGGTTGTGGTGGGACTTGGCTAGATACTGACAAGAATACCAAGCAGAGGGCGGCTGAAGCAAAAGTGAAAATGACTGGGCTCATCTGTATTTCACATGTCATGATACTACTATTTGACCTCCTAACCTAGGCGCCTGCTGCTGCAGTTAGAAGCAACAAAAAATAGCAAAAGCATTGGTTCAGGGGGAAAGACCACCAGTGGGGCTCTTCCAGATAGCAACCTTGTTACTTATGAATTACATTCTCGGCCTGAGCAGGACAAGTTCTCTCAAGCTGCCAAAGTAAGTATCTATGTATTACCGGGGAGGTGCGGGGCTAGTACTTGACCACGAAGACTCCCCTGTCTCCAAGGGCTCGATCATGGGAAGAGTTTGCTTAGGACTTCTTCTCTTCCATGACTTCTTACTCTCTCCATGTTTTCCTCACCCACCAACTCTCCATTAAAATTTTAAGATGTGGCTAGGGAATGTGTTCTAAGGAAAGGAACCCCTTTGGTGGGAGGTGGGTGGGAAGAGGCAAACAGAGAAGACAAGCGTCTTCTTTCTCCCACTACAGCAGCAGGGAGGCAGATGACAAATCTCACCTCTTTCTCCTTAGGTGGCCGAACTTGAGAAGCGCCTGACAGAGCTGGAGGCAACTGTACGCTGTGATCAGGATGCTCAGGTCAGGTGCTCTCCTCTACTTCACTGAACCTAAAGTCCACAGTATTCCACTTAAGACTGTGTGGAGTCAGGAAAGGCCTGCAGTGACCAGTCAGTGGGTTTCCAGCTAGAACCAGAAAGAATGGTAGAAGGTGTTCATCACATGGAGATGTAAGGGCCACTGATTTCTTCCTCCCTCTTCCACCAGAATCCCCTTTCTGCAGGTCTACAAGGAACATGTCTTATGGTGAGTATGGAAACAACTATTTGGATTATAAGGGGTGACTGGGGTTGGGTTTACTGTGAGAATTACTTGGTTTTATTTCTACTGGTGGTGTAATGATTAAGTACTTAGCTACTAACGAAGATTGGCAATTTGAACACACTGTTTACGTACCAGAAATACAGTAAATTATAGCCTTGCAAACCGGAGGGGGCAACTCAGAATTGACTTGACAGCACCCCAAAACAGCAGCTATATATTAATCATCCTTAGTAGGATGTGGAGAGCCTTTGCTCAATCTGATCCTTCCCCGTTCATAAAGCTTATCCCACCCCTAGGAGACTGTAGAGCTATTGCAAGCAAAGGTGAGCGCCCTGGACCTTGCCGTTTTGGATCAAGTGGAGGCTCGGCTACAGGTATTATGTAAAGGGCAAACTAGACAATAGGTAGCTTGGGACATTGGAAGTCCTGGATGCCCTCACTGCTAACCATAAAATCTACTTTCAGAGTGTCCTGGGAAAGGTGAATGAGATTGCAAAACATAAAGCCTCTGTAGAAGATGCAGATACACAGAGCAAGGTTAGAAGTATGCCTTTGCTTCGTCTTCCTACCCTTTTCCACTCCCTACCCATTCTCCTTCCCCTTAGCCAAGTCAGCTGTGGTAACAAAGCAAGAAAGCAATCTCTCCTTAATCATCTGCTTCAGCTGAGAAAGAACAGTGTTTCCAATTGATCTAATTGACCCCTTCCCCACACCAGTGAAATAGTATCCAGTGTCTACTTCACAAAAAACCTCGGCTGTCCCTTCTGTCCTATCATGTCCCAGGTACATCAGCTATATGAAACCATACAGCGCTGGAGCCCTATTGCCTCCACCCTTCCTGAACTTGTGCAGAGACTCATTTCCATCAAACAGTTGCATGAACAAGGTGGGAGAAAGCTGCTGGGGTATCAAGTACTAAAAAGTGGACAGTGAACTGTGGTTCTTTTTTGAGTCTCAAGATTCTTGTTTTAACCATAACTTTCTTGCATGCTTTTGTAGCTATGCAGTTTGGTCAGCTTTTGACACACTTGGATACCACTCAGCAGATGATTGCCAGTTCCCTCAAGGACAATACCACTCTCCTGACCCAGGTATGTGCCTTTATTGACTTGCCACTTAACCTTCTCTAGTATTCAAGCTACTCCAGCTTTATCTTGTAAATTTGACCTTATACATTCAGTAATTTACCAACATGGCCGTGTTTTGGTTTGAGTCTCTCTAGTCATGCAGTGGTTGTGCATATTTGATGACCTTATGAATTTTCTTATCTATAAATTACACATTTCATTTAGTTATGTCGATTAGCTGGAATAATATAACCAAATTATGGGGTTAAGTAAGTACCAGTTTTTCTATAAAGCATCCTTTTTCCCCTCTGTAGATCTCCGCGTATTTATGGGTTGTTTTTTTTTCTGGGATCCTCACCCAGGTGTTCTTTCTGCAATAAAAATACAGGCTCCAACCCGGTTTTGCCACTTTCCTTAACCATCTTCAAACATTAGTTAATCATGTCCACCATGGAGTGAGTCCTCAATTTTTGTTGGAGGCACTGTTCTGAGTGCAAGAGGGAGCTTTTAGAGGATTATAGGACATAAAGAGAAATGAAATTACGTAAAGTACTTGATACAGTGATTTTCTTCCAGAGCAGTATTTTCTACATTTTTAAGCCAGCAAAACTCATTTCAGCAAAAACCTTACTTGGTCATCTATTATGTGAAACAGAATAAACAACAATGCTGGTTTAAAGCAGGATAGAAGCCGTGCCTTTTTTTTTTTAGCTAGTTTCATAGTACAAGGCAAGTTTTAAAACTGCCATAAACATCTTCTGAGCCACTAAAGCCGTTTGTTCATCTTTTTCACTAAGAATTTCTTCAGGTCTTCATTCAGGTGTCCCAGGCACCAGGATTTGACAAAGTCAACCACTCTGCCACTTTCTAGGTGCAGACAACCATGCGTGAAAACCTGGCCACAGTTGAGGGGAACTTTGCCAGCATAGATGACCGAATGAAGAAACTGGGAAAGTGAGCACCTTTGGGAAATGGGGACCAGGAGGATCTTCCTTCCCCTCTGAACTGTTAACAGCTTACATTAGACTGTCCCATCAGTGGTTCCTCTTGAACTAATTCTTATCCCCATCCCATCTGACACTGAAGACAAGGGGTTTTTCTTGCATGTGGCGTATACTCCTCCCTTATTGAATGAATATATAATGGCATACTGGTCCTTCCTTCAGGCCTTAGGAATGAGGACTTGGACCCAGCCCATGCTGGCTCATATCCAATAGTAGTTTGCCTGGTATGGGGAAGGATTGGATACTGTCCTCCAACACAGCTTCTATAGCTGATTGTAACAATGTACGAGTGTTTGACCATTAAATGCTGTTGTACTCTGTGTGCCTCTACTCTGTTTCCTGGGGAAGAGGCAGCACTAAGAAAGATGCATTTACAAGCATAGTAAGTAGTCTAAACTGCTCTACTACAAGAGAAGGATTTAAATTATAACCTGTTCTCACTAAAGAACTAAGAAAAAGAAATGAGTACAGAGCCAGAGCCAGAATTTCAAAATATTCTCATCTGTTAAATTAAAGAGTGTCTCCCATAGAAAAGCAGTGGAGGCCCCACAGGGCAAGTACAAAACAGAATTAAAATTCCCAAGGGTCTTGTCTTTACAAAAGAAAAGGCAGGAGGCAGCCCCTGGACAGCTGGTCATGCTGGCCGCTCCGGTTGGACCACGTTGCATAATCCTCATTCGCATCATCACAACGTCTCTGAGCGTTTTGATGGGGGGGGGGGGGGGAAGAAGGGGCAGTGTAGTGTGTATGGGAGGAGAGGCCCAGAGGGCTCTCTTTGCTCCCTTATCCCCTTTTTATAATCCCAGAGGAAAATAGGGGTAACCTGCTATACCTTGAAATGAGGCTATGTGTTTCAAAACTGGGGACAGGGATAAGGGATCTGTGCTTTGAGCAACCTGAGCCAGAGACAGAGGGGTGTTGGAGGGATAAGGGGAGGATGCATGATGCTTATTGCTTTGTACCTTTCACTGGGAAGGAGGGCAGCAACCAACAGTAGCTCACAGGTTTGTAAACTGAGCCTGCTGGCTTTAAGAAGGGAGGCAATGAAGTCGAATTAAATATAAAAGAGTCATTTGTGCAAAAATAACTTAAACAAATAAAAGACCTGGGGAAGGGGGTGTTCCCCTTTGCGCCTGGTGGGGAGAGGGCCATATACCACCCCCCCAGGCCTTTTCAGTGACATGGCTTCCGGGGGGGAGGGGATGAGCTTCCCTACCCCTTGCAATGGCTCAGGATGGGATTGTAGGGGAAGGGGTTGCATTTTGTGCTCTGAGTGAGGAGTAGTGCCCCACCCACTGTCCACAGGTGCAGGTGGCTGGCAGGGGCTCCCAAGGCTCAGCACTCAGCTCTCCCCAGTCAGGGTCAGATCCAGCTCCAGGTATGGTTGTTACGGGGCCAGTTTCCTCCTCTTGTTTTTGGCAGGACGGCCAGGGCGGGCTCGTGGAGGCAGAGGGACAACCGCCTATGCAAGAGGAGATATTGAAAGAAGTAATCAAACAGATGGGTATCAGGAAGTCCTTAATATTCTCCCTATTCTTTATAAACCCACTCTGTCCTGTGTACCCTGCACACACATGCAGAACACTTACACGAGTTGTGGGGCTGGGTTCCAAAGAAATGTCCTGGCGAGAGCTATTGCTGTTTCGGGTAGGGCTGCAATAAGGGGCACAGATAGATGATAAGGAACACCTCCTCAAGCACCAGTGAATTTCAGAATTTGAATGGCAAAACTTACTCTATATTTGGAGTAGTAAAAGCACACTAATCCTTATTTATATTCTGATAAGTATCACCCTGCTTACAAATCACTATTTTGACATTTCTCTAAACCCAAACATTGAAGAAATGCCAGGACCATATGGACCTAACACTCACTTGTACTTTCTCCTCCGGCCACGACGAGACTTTCTGACTATCCCAGGGGGCACCTGAAAACAGATGGACTGTATGTGTGGGGAAAGTTATGGCCCCAGCCTCTCCTCACAGCCCTTCACCCACACCCATGTTACTCTGTACTCACCTTAAGCTCTTCAGCATAGGGCCCGGGAGGGGGTGGATCCTTAGGTTCAGCACCCCCTTCAGCCAGCTCGCCATTATGTTGCCAGTGGTGGGTCCTTCTTGGGGACCGTTCCATTTGTCCATTGAAGCCACCACGTGCCCCCCACTTAAGAGCTAGTCGTCCAGGCTCCCTCCGGCTGCCAGGCTTTCGGCCCCGGCCTGGCCTGGCCTCACCATTAATGCCCCTAAGTCCCCCTCCTCCCCGCCGGCCCCGTTTCCCTGACCCCCTCCCAGTGAGCAGCTCAGGGACTGGGGGGTCAGGAGAACTATGGGGTGGGGCTAAGGCACTGAGGGGAGGCCGGGCAGGCTCCGGTTCAAGGGCTGATGTGGGACTCTCAGGGGGCAGACAGGGGGCTTCCGACTGCTCTGGAGGGAGCTGGAGGCAAGAGAAAATTCCAACCTTAAACATAATCCTTCTGCTAAATACAACCCAGGGAGCCTTTGACTTCTAATTTGGAAAAATACTTTTTTCTTTTTCATTCATTTATTGTTGCATATTTTCCTCCATACTCCCCAGTTCGCTTTTTTAAAAAAAAATCATTATTGTTGCATACTTTCCTTCATCCACCTCCACCCTTCCCCAGTCCATTTTGCTATGCACCTCTTGTTCTGAACCAAAAAATACTTTCCCTGACAAACACATTTAATATCCTCACCTGGAGACTCTGTAGCAGGCAGGCTAGGGGACTAGAAGCTTCTGAGAGGGGTGGAGGAGCTCCCCCCCCAGGAAGGAGCTGCAACCCCAACTGGCCAGAGAGAAGAGAGCCAGAAGGCTGCAACAGGCTGGAGAGGGTTCCAGGGCTGCTGGTCAGTGATGACAAATCACCTGTTTAATTAATTACAAAGACAAGTATGTCAGTTAGGCTGAGGAGACCCTAGTCTCTCTAGGCTTTACCAGAAAGCACAACTTTCTTCCGTAGTCTACTCAAGTAGACTACACAAGGTAGTAGTAGACTTCCATCCAGTGACCCCTCAAACTCACCCAGCAGGCTGGCACTCAGCAGAGGGCTAAGGAGTTGGGGGGGTCTCCCTGAGTTGGAGGGGGCCTTGCCCAGAGAGGAGGCCCCCGGGTCAGTAGTTGCTGTGGTGACACTGGAGGTAGGTGGTCCAGGTTGGGGGGCACTCAGGACACAGGGCTAAGGAGAGAGGAGGTTATTATAGCACATGTGTAGAGTTTTTTGCAGATTTATAGTACTTCCACACATAAAATCTCACTAAAGTCTCACATGAGGTAGGACATGATTATTAAATACAGACCTGGTGCTTGCAACCATCCTACCCCCAGCTAAGAACTAAGCCTTCCCCAAAGGCCCTGAGGAAGAACTCAGGCATGAAACCAAAAGCCTTTGATTTCCCATCTCCGATTCTACCTCTTGCTCTGCCTTCCCTTTTTATTCACCCACTATCCTCACCTGGGGGGGTGTCCCCGAAGGGGGGTCCAGGCTGGCAGCCAGCAGCGCAGAATTTAAAGCTATGAGGGTAGGGGGGGCTGAAAGGGGAGGGAAAAGGAGGGGAGGCAGGTCTCCCAAACCTGAAAATGGCTCCCCACTTGGACCCCCGGCTCCCTCTGCAGATCCTTCCCCATCTCCAGCTGTGGGGCCCAGGGCTAAGAGGGGCAGGAATGAGGCTAGGAGGTTGCTAGGGGGTGCTGATGGGGGTGGAAGAAGATCTGAGGGAGGTGGTGGAAGCAAGGAAGCCACCAAAAGCGAAGGCCCTTCGGGCTCGCCTGGGGCTAGGGGAGGGCCAGGTCCTCCTGGAGGGGGTAGCAGGGATTCTGGGGGAGGTTGTCCCCCTCCCCCAGCCAGCATGCCAAATAAACTGTGGCTGAGCAATGGAGAAGGTGGGGGTTGCCCCAGACTCAGAGGGAGAGGCAAAGCCCCCAGCATCCCTGGAAAGCCAGCTCCGCTCAGCGCCAGGCCCTGCTCAGGGCCAGGGAATGGGAAGGCCTCCCCACCAGCCAGGGAAGGTAGAGGGCAGGCTGGGCCCACCCCCATCCCAAGCCCTTCAGATGGGCTTTGAAGCACAGGGCTGGGAACTAGAGGGGCTTTGGAGGCAGCTGGTGGGGCAGGGGCACCTGTAAAGAAGAGAGAAATTCAACTCAAGAGAGGCCTTTTTTCTCAAAGAACCCAACCTTCCTGCCTCCAATGTGGAAAAAAGAACTCTCAATTCTTCTTTCCCCCCGCCCCACCCCCCAAAGTGCTTCTACTGCATCTTTCCAGTCACAGTGAGAGAAAGTTCCATGACACATACCTGGCACACTGCTGAGGCTGCCACTGGTGGTCCCAGGCAGGGAGGGCTGGATAGGGTGCCTGGGCTGGGGAGGGCTCCCTGAGGAGAGGGTTGGAGGAGGGGGAAGGTGTGCATCTGACCCCAAAAGGTTAAAGCTTCCATCAGAGTGGGAAGGGCCAGGGGTGGGCAGTCCCAGCAAGGACAGCACAGAAGGGAGAATTGGCTGGGATGGCTCTGTAAAAGGAAAAGGTTGGGGGGCAGGAGCAGGGGCCCGAGGACGGCTCCGTCTTGGGGTTTGAGGGCCTCCCCCCTCTAGTAATCGCAATACAGTTGGAGGTCGGCGTGGTCGCCGCTGAGGGGGATGGGGTGATGAAGAGTGGGAAGCTGAGGGCGCCTGGGCACGGGGCCTTCGGCCCTGTAAAGTGCTGGGAGGGGGTACTGGAGGGTGCTGTGCCTTGGCTGCTGCAGAGAGTAGACTACTAGCTAGGAAGGAGGATGCCCCAGGCCCCTCCACTGTGGGGGCCCCTCCAAGGGGCCCCAGTACTAGGGGCAGGTGCATAGTGGCTGAAGACACTGGTGGCTGAGTGGCAGGACCAGGGGGGCCAGGGAGATTATTGCTAGAGGGCAGGGGAGGGGGTGTTAAGGCATCACTACAGTGGAAGGGAGACTCTGAAGGTGGTGAGGAGGAGGCTTGTGGGGCTGGAGGCGAGCCCAAGTCATGGGGCACCAGACTGGATAGAAGGGTAGCTCCCCAGTTGTATGAAGGGGCATTGAGGCTAATAGCAGGTGGGGGAGGTGGGGCTGGAGAGGGGGCATTGCCCCTTGGAAGGAAACAGGGGCTGTTATTGCCCCCAGAGGAAACTGGGTCAGGAAGCCTCGGTGGAGGGAAGAGGCCCCCAGCAGATGCTAAAGAGGGAAAGGCTTGGGAAACTGAGGGTGGTTCTGGGGGAAGGGAGCTAGGGCCCCCATTAAGTGGAGTTGCAGTAGGGACTCGACAGGGAGGACGGGTAGAAGGGGGCCCTGGGGACACAGTGTGGAACATTTGGGGACTTGCTCCCTCTCCTGCAATAAAAGAGAAATAATCAATTCAAGTCTCCTCTTTCCAGGACATCTTTTTGTCTTCTCCAGTCTCACCTCCCACTGAATTCTCAACTTCACTGCTCTCTTCCTTCACCAAGTCCCACTTCATTCTTCTCTTCATAAAATTCCTCCCACCTTCCTTCTTCCAAGCCCTCTGGTTTTCCTCAGTCTTCCTGTAAACTCACCAGGAGAAGAGTGTGAGCAGGTGGTCTC